TCTTATTTTGTAAATATGTTGTCTTATTTTAACTTTAATCAGTTTAACTATATTCTTAACAAAAATAATGTAATTTTAGATCTAGTCTTATCAAATGTTCACCTAAATGTCTCTACTGATCCCGACCCATTATTACCATTAGATATGCATCACCCTGCTCTTAATGTTACTATAGATTACAATCAATTTATCATACTTAAGCCAACAGATTATTTTTATGATTTTAAACATTGTAATTATATTGATATTGTAAAATTTTTAGCCGATAATTTACCTTGCAATGCTTCTATTAATTTTAATCTTAATGAAATAATTAACCATTTATATAATTGTTTAAACGAAGCAATTAATACCTTTGTACCGAAAAAGCGTGTTTCGTCAAACAGCTTTCCCCCTTGGTATTCTACTGAGTTAAAAATATTATTATCACAAAAAAAAATTGCTCATTCATTGTATAAAAAATTTAATGACCCATCTGATTATAACAGCTTTTCCCATTTGAGGGCTAAATGTAAGAGAACTGCTAAACTAGATTATAAAAAATTTATTAATAAAGTCCAATTATCTGTCAAATCAAACCCTAAGTCTTTCTGGAAATATGTTAATAGTCGTAGAAATAATAAGTCAATACCAAGTCTCCTTACGCTCGATACAACGTCAGCTGATAATGGGCAAGATATAGTTAACTTATTTGCTAAATTTTTCTTTAAAAACTACCCTAAGCCAGACAATCTATCCATTTCTGCTCCTTGTTTAAATAATTCCTTAAGTAGTTATAATTTATTTTCCTTTTCGTCTATATTGTTCACTGAGGTCGATGTTTTAAATGAGCTTACCACTCTCTCTATCAATTACAACGTTGGTCCTGATAGCATTCCAGCCTTTTTCCTCTACAATTGCAGATTTATACTTACACCAACTTTAACACATATTTTTAACTTATCGCTCCAAAATGGTATATTCCCCGACTTATGGAAAAACTCTTTTATTTACCCGGTTTTTAAAAAAGGCGATCCCACAATTGTCTCTAACTACCGGCCAATATCAAAAATATCAGTTATTCCTAAACTCTTTTCAAAACTTATTTTTAATAAAATAAATAAACATTGTTCTGCATTTTTATCTCAACATCAATATGGTTTTATATCTAAGCGATCAGCTAATTGTAACCTTGCTATTACTAAACAAATAATACTTGACTCTTTCGTTGCTCGTTCTCAAACCGATATAATTTACACTGATATGTCAAAAGCGTTTGATAGCGTTAACCATGAACTACTGTTTATGAAATTAAAACTGTTTGGGTTCTCTGACCCTCTACTTTCCTGGTTTCGCTCTTTTCTTTCCAACCGCATTATCGTTGTTAAACATCTGAATTTTGAATCCGATAAATTTAATGTACCATCCGGGGTCCCGCAAGGTGATCACCTGTCTACCCTACTTTTTAATATTTTCATAAACGACATTCCGGATGTCATAAAAAAATCCCGCATTTTTCTCTTCGCTGACGATCTTAAACTGGTAAAAATAATTAATAATCAAGACGATGCTGATGACTTACAAACCGATATTAATAACATTCAATACTGGTGCTCAGCCAACCGTCTGTTATTAAATACCGAGAAATGCAAATTTATGCGATTTAGCCTAAGCAAAAATATCATCGATTATAACTACTCTATTTCTAATTCTAATATTGAATTATTAACCACCTTTAAAGACCTAGGCGTCATCTTCGACTCAAAACTAAATTTTTCAGCCCATACTGAAATGATAATTAATAAGGCAATGCGCAACTTAGGATTTATCAAGCGAACTTGTGGATCATTCAGAGATCCTCTATCTCTAAAAGTTTTATTCTGTGCCCTAGTTCGCTCTAACCTAGAATACTGTCCATTAATTTGGACTAATAATACCTCTAAACAGATTGATGTAATCGAATCAGTTCAAAATAACTTCCTCCGTTTCATCTCCTTTAACTTTAATGTTTATAGGCCACCTCACGGTTCCTATGACTCAATATTATCATTCATTAATCTTTCTCCATTAAAAACTAGACGCACTTTATTACTATCGAAATTGTTACATAATTTGCTCTTAGGAAATATAGACTGTGAAGAACTCCTTTCCCTCATCCGTTTTAAAATAAACCATAATAATACAAGATTCAGTGATTTATTTTATCCCGTCCCTTTTAAAACAAATTATATGAAAAACTGTCCTTCTAATATCCTTATGGCTGCAGGTAATTCTATTACCTTTGATTTTGTTTAGCATGTCTCATCTTAAGTCTTTCTATGTTACTATTTAACTTTTTTTTGTTCTTATATATATTATTACTTACAAATGTATAATGTAATTTGTTTGTAATTAGTCATTTCTATGACCTCATTGTATTATTGATACGTGTATACGCTTAATATATTTGTTAAGGACTTACGTCCGTTTATATTTAAAATAAATAAATAAATAAATAATCTATTTATATACCCTTTATTACATTTAGCTTATTATAATTACCCAAAAATGAATAACCACATTATAACTATGCGATAATGACGTTTCTTGAAGGACACTCCACTAAAAAGAACACAAAGACCTAGGGATACTGGTCAGCCGGCCTGTTTCGATTGTACACCTCAACCGATACATGGTGATCTTCGCTGGGTTCTCTTGTGACAACCTTTTCTGATGTTAAAATCCCTATGATTATATTAACGTTTAACTTGTATTTATTAATATATTCATATTATTTTTGTATTATCTATTTAGGACTGTCCTGTTTCCTGTATTATTATAAAGGTGATAATAAATTATAATAATTACATTAAATTTACGATATTTTGGTATACGATATATTAATTACAACAATATTGGAGCAGTAAGGTTACTGTAATATCCAAAAATGACCAGGTTTAAACAGATATGCTGATGGAGTCAAGTTAATAAATATAATAATTAGTAGTAATTGAGTAATAACACTGGGTGTGGTAATTAATTAAGGAAATATAATTATTTACAATAGTAACAACAGAGAATTCTTAATTCAAAAGACATCAAGGACAGGTTGACACGTGAAGTTAATTTTCGTTTCAAAAGCTAATGGTGACCGTTGAAGAAAAGATAATATAAGATATTATCGTATACCGGCACCCGAGAAACCAGTTCATGCTGCCCGTCGACCACCCCGAATAGCGTGACCTGTAAGGACGTGAGGAGGAAGCGGCATCCAGCGGTAACACTTTTTTTTTTTAACACGGTCGGCATTACTGAGGGCCACCTTGGAACTGCCGTTAGGCATTACTTTACGCCGTTTATATAATTCACGCCACCTCGTTGTGAATCAGCCCGAAATTAATCAAGAGCTGATTCGCAACATGGTGTGCCCCCCTCCTGCTAACCGGATCTTAGAGTGGTAACCGTTAGGGAGGGTTGACAAAATAACTCACAAAACAAAAACAAGATCCTAAGGCACCGGCCTAAATCAGCGCCTCAGGACTTCCTGTACAGGACGGCATAGTTGCCTCTGTCTCAGGCGTACCGCTTCCTCCGTCTTCATAAAGATGGATTCGGCGAACGCTTGAACGAGCCTCCCACGCCTCCCGGCTCCTTAAAATCAGGTCCATCATGAACTCGACTCGGAGCGTTAACCCTAGTCAGGACTCCAAAGTGTACCGCTCCTGGGCCCTTGCTTCGCACTGTAAGAGGGTGTTCAAAGTGCTGTCAGCCTCTCCCAGGTAATCCCAACAATGGTCACACGTTGACACACGTATCTGCCCAAAATAGGGACCCGTACAGGAAAACCGAGTGTACGATGCTGACTAAGAGTATGAGCCACATCTCCCTTGGTCCTCCCAGATTGGACATGAGCCCCGACAGGCTATTCATGACTTTCTGGCCCCGAACTTTAGACGTTTGTCAACGACCAGAGCCAGATAAGTCATGGAGTCTTTAAGTAAGATCTCCACTCCCAGCACGCCGAGCCGTGGAGGAGTGAAAAAACCACTTCGGTCTTGTCCAGAGCGAGGCTCAGTTCACTCCCCTTCTACTGGATCCAGGCGGTAACTGCGATGAGCGCGCAGTTCACACGAGATCCAGCCTACTCGTACGAGGCACCTTGCGCCAACATCAGGGTGTCGTCCGCGTATCAGACGACGAGCACGTGCGGTGGTAGCGAAACGCGGAATACCTCGTCGTACGCGATGTTCCACAGAAGAGGCCCGAGAACCAACCCTTGCGGGACGCTGCTTATTACGAGTCTGATTCTTGGGCCAGCGGCGCTCTCTATTAATTTTAATTACAAAAAAAAAATTAGTTAATTAAAAATTTGTCTTTTTTTTTAAATTAACTAAATTTATTTTAAAAACTTAAAAATTTATTTTGAAAATAATTTTTTTAATAAAATATATTATTACACATTGTACAATATTAGAATTAAGTTATATTATAAAAAATTATCTAAAACGAAATGTGCAGAAAAATAGCTTTTAATAAATATAATAACATATTATTTAATCAATAGTTGTAAAACATACAAACTTTAATAATTAGAACATTTTTTAAATTGGATTTATTAGTACTTATTATTAGTTATTTTATTAGTTTATTTTTTAGTTAACAAACAGATACTATTAATATTCATGAATTTAAAAAAATTATGCATATGTTTAATAAAAGTAAATACATATATATTTATAAATATAATCATAGGTAGCCATTTTAAGTAAACTAATTTAAACTATTTCAAAAGTTTGAAAAAAAGGTTAAATTTTAAGATCTCTTTTATCATTGAGTTATACTAAGTATACTAAGTTATACTAAGTAGTAACAAAGAGAAGTAACAAAATTTTATTTTTGAAGATATAATTAATTGTTATTTAAAATATTTAATTAATGCACTAAAATCAACTTAAAATTATTTTATTAGTTTATTTTTAGTTAATGAGCAGATACTATCAATATTTGCGAATTTTTAAAAATCTATGCATATGTTTAATAAAAATACACACATATATATTTAAACATAGGTTACAATTCTAAGTAAAATAAAGTATAATACTTCAAATGTTTTTAAAAAATGTTAAATTTTAAGATCTTTTTTATAATTGAGTTATACTTACTAGTTTTCTGTATTCAAATATATGTTATAACAGCGACTTCCGTTGATTCCAGTTCAACTGAGGAAACTAAATATCTAAAATGCACTTACTTATTTAGTGCTTTAACTCACATGAAAATAACTCAACTAATGTTAAAAAATACAGATTTAAATTTGATAATCGCAATAGTTAACGTAAGTAGATATGTCGAAATTGTCATTAAACAAATAAGTACATTATATGAAAAAAATAAAATGAATATTGGATCCTTGTGGCTATTAAATCTTTATTTAAGTAGCATACTTGGACTTTCAACTAACTCCAATAATATACTAGATATAGATAGAGATGATAACCGGTATAAAACTATTGAAGACACTCATGATTATGTTCTGCAAATTTTACAACAAGATGCTATCAACTGTGATAGGAATAATGTATTCAATATTCATATATTGGAGTTTGAACATCAAAATACAGAATCAATGACAATTTTAGATGCAAATATGTATAATAATATAAAATATATACAAACATTTATAAAAAACAGAAATAGTCCTAAATTACTGAATTCAGATAATTTACAAACATTTACTAAAAAAGGCATACTTATGACAAGATTATCAAAGCATATAAGTTGCATAGTTTTATTCCAATATTTTTACGATGTACAAGTTGATTGGAGTTATAAAATGGCAAGAAATTTTAAGAAAATGTTAAAAAAAGCTAATACTCTTCAATGGTCAGGTGGAAATTTTAAATCCATTATAGATTATTATGTAGTGTTCTTTAACTTCTTTAAGGTCATTATGTTAAGGTTGACTTGGAAACATTTTTTGTACCTTCAACACCAAAATATCAATGTCGTAGAATATCTTACAAAAGAATGGTTACTAATATTGAACGATTTTTCACAACTTACATGTATAGAAAATGATTCTGATATTGTTGAAATTACATCAAGCATCAATGACTTCATTAGTTATATTCCAAAACATAAAAACGGCTCAGTAGATGAAGATGAGTTTCCAAATTATAAACAACAGTATTATTTAAAATTAGAATCCGAATTGAAAATTATTCTGACCGATATTTGTATTCCTTTGGAATGTTTTGCAATAGAACCATTGTTTTTGTTTGGTCAGGAACGCCCTGAAGAAGCAAACAAACCACCTCATAATCATAAAGAACTTAAAACTGTAGAATATTACAGTTTACTCAATGCAAAAATCTTTATTAAAAATATTATAGAAAATAATAAAGATATTGATTTTGGTGTGATAAGATCATTTATAAATTACATAAAAAAAATAAGTAAGCAATAGTTTAACAAAAATACTTTGAAATTAAGGGATATATATAATTATATAAAATACAGGAATTATTTTTATCTTTAAAAGTTGTAGTATTTCTCTAATATTGTTATTCATGAAATATATTATTAAAAAAATCAAGTCTTCAATAAATAGACAGTACTCTATTCTACTCGAAAATAAGTTTCTGACAGAAAGTTGATATAGTTTGAATTCGATAGGTATGCTAAAAAAAGTCGTGGATTATAAAATAATTATCTAGTAAGTACAGTTGTTATCGTAATATAAATGAATATGGAAATTGTAAATTTTAATATAATAACTGTAACTATAATTTTTATATTAATTGATAAAAAATAAATTTGAAAGTTAATATAAGTCGTTTAATATAATTAATTTTATTAAAATAAACTATTTTTGTTTGTATAGTTACAATAAACTAAGAATTATAATATTGAAATCTCCAAAATAAATACAAAATTTTAAAATTGCTATTTTAAAATACTTATCTTTAAACAGTCTTGTATGTTCAGTTCAATTAGTTTGTGTAACAAATTTTATTCAAACATATTTTAAAGTGTAATTTAGACTTAATATATGCAAAGTTTTTGTCTTAATTACATTTATACTGTACATTTAATTTCTTTAATAAATAAGCACGTGTAGTTCATTTATCAAATAATCTGTGGTATACTATCTATAGTATTTACTAATTTTTATATTTTTAATAATTTAATAATGTTTAAAATTTGCACGTCCTACATAATATATACATAAATTTGTTTTAAATTCTATTCACTCAATTTATTTACAAACAATAGCTGAGAAGGTATTAATTTTACTATGATGTGTTTGCATTTTTTATGTTTGTCGCCACTTTTAGTTGAAGACATTACCCTTAAAAACTTTTTTTTCTTAAAACTTCCATAACTTTTTCAAAAATCAACAAATCAACATCATTTTTATTTAACATGAAAATTTAACACTTATTCTGCTCATTAGGGGGGATTTAAAATAGCAACTTTTTTACAAAAATTAACTTTTTCGACTTAATTTTTGAAAATGTTCCGGAAATACTGCGTCCTTCTAATATATATAAAATTAAAGCTTATTTTATGTACTATAAAATAAAAAAAAAAAAATTTGTCCCGACAATTTATCTTCTGCATGTAAACGGCTGCCGTAGTTAAAAAAACGCTAATTTTGTGTTAAAATTTTCGATTTTAAATTTTCAACTTAAAAGTGCTATAACTTTTCGAAAAATGTAATTATCAGCACATATTTTTTTTCTCTAAATACATTATAAGTACATCTTTCATTTGACATACTTTTTATTAAAATTGGACAATTTCCCCTTATATAGGGGGCGTTCAAAACTTGAAATATTGTATAAAAAATAGAACTTTTTCAACTTAACTTTTGAAAATCTTCCGGAAATACTGCGTCCTTTAAACATATATCAAATTAAAGCTTTTTTTATGTACTATAAAATGAAAAAAAAAAATTTGTCCCGACACCTTATCTTCTATGTGCAAATGGCTGTCGAAATTAAAAAAAAAATGTAATGTTTGCGATAAAAATCACCTTTTATGGAGATATTTTTTGTACTTAAAACTGCCATAACTTTTTCAAAAATGAACAAATGAAAATAATATTTTTTTTTTATTGAAACCTTAGATATTTCCCTTTCATTTAATATAATTTTTTTTGAAAATCTAACACTTATTCTGCTTACTGGAGGGATTTAAAATAGTAACTTTTTTACAAAAAATTTTTCAACTTAATTTTTGAAAATGTTCTGGAAATACTACGTCCTTTAAACATATATCAAATTAAAGCTTATTTTATGTACTATAAAATAAAAAATTTATTCCGACGACCTATCTTCTATGCGCAAATGGCTACCGTATTTAAAAATATGCTATTTTAACAAATTTTTTTTTTTCAATTAAACACTATCTACAGATTTGAATCGAAGCGTTTTTTATGATAGTGATTTTAATCACTGTCAGATATCATCTATACTGGACTCAACTATGCCACGACCCCACTGTGCTGGGTTTTTTTATATAATTTATTATATTTTTATTATTTTTTATCCTACAAAACTAATAGATAACTGTTTTGAGTTAAACTTTAATTTAAATCAAAATACGAGTTAATCTTATGGCTTTAATAATAAAAATAAAAATGTTCTAAATTTGATATTATTTTAAAACAAATGATTATATCAAAATATATTTGTTAAATATCAGTAAATAGTATTTTTTAATTATCCATATAAAGAAGAAAAAGAAAATTATTTTAATTGTACACATATTACACGTTAAAGTGCAAATTAAAAATACTTATGTATACTTACTGTTTTCCCTCCAAAACAAGTTGCCTCAATAATAATATTAATGTATAATAATAACATTATTATTAGCATAAAATATCAGGCGAGTTCACTAAGCAGCATGATGGCAGTAACGAAAATATCTAATAAAGCAAAATCAGTTTTTTGATAACACGTGTCATAAATTAAGGTATGAGTATCATGATGCTACCCTCATAAGTGGCAACACGGTTTATAACATAATCTGCTGGTTTCGCCAACATTTGTTAAGAATTTAACTTATTGTTAATTATATTTAAGCAATGAGCTATGTTTATAATAAAACTAACGGCGCTTATATCACATAGTGACGGACCCAGGGTGAAAGCGCAATCGCGAAGAGAAAGCCTTAAAACCACTAAATATTATGAAAATTATACAAATTTAAATTTATGATTCATATAACATTATAAATATAGCAATAATAACATTATAGATCTACAAATTTTAGTAATTACTAAAATGATTGTTAGGAAAATTTAAAAAATATAATTTGTTTTATCCACAATTGTAATTTTTCAAATTTAGATATAGATACATAGTTTAATATTAAATGATGCAAACATCTGTCGATAATTATAAATTTTACAAATATACACATTAGGGTGCCCCTTATTTATATATGAACGATTTTTTTTTTATGAAATTCAAAGAGTGCCGCCCGGGAATTTGTTCCTATAGGTCTAAGTATAATATCTGCAAAATTTGAGCTTCATATAACATGATTAACAGGGCACGCTCTAAGCTCAAAGTTTTAGGAAAATTCAAATTTTTGCACTTTTTTAAATTTTTTTGCTAAGTTTTTGATCTTACGGGAAAATGATATTGAGCTTTTTTGTAGACCTAGTTATTTACTACAATTAATGTGTCTAGTAATTTTTCATAAAGTCCGCGGTTTCTCGTGAAAATTAAAAAAAACTAAATGTTTATAATAAAACTATCGGCGCTTATATCACATAGTGACGGACCCAGGAAGAAAGCGCAATCGTGAAGAGAAGGCCTTAAAATTACTAAATATTATGAAAATTATACAAATTTTAATTTACGATTTATATAGCATTATAAATATAGCAATAATAACATTATTATTAGCATTAAACATCAAAGTTCATTAAGCTGAATGATAGCGATAACAATAATGCCTAATAAGTTAAAAATTAGTTCTTTGATAACACATGTGTCGTAAAATCTAACTTATTGTTAATTGTAATTAACAATATAAGGATTAACTAATTTAAGAAATAAGTAGATATTACTTATAGCATTGAACTATGTTTATAACAAAACTAACGGCACTTATAACTCATAATGATAGACCAAGGTTTGATTACTGTATATAACCACACCTATCCATTTATTGAATATAATATAACAAAATTAAATTTTTTCAAACAACAAAATAAAATTATGTTGACTTTAAAACATCTATTGTAATTAATTTACTTTTATTTCTATCAATTTGTTGCATGAACAGATTAGTTAAAACGACGACCTCAATTGATTCAAAACCAACTAATAGTCATGAATATTTCAAGTGTACTTACATGTATAGTACTTTGGCATATTTGAAAATTACTCTAGAATTAATAAAAAGCAATAAAAAACATTTGTTTAACATAATAGTCAATATATGCAAGTACAATCTAATTGTTAGGAAACAAATAAGTACGTTATATGATAGAGCTAAAGAAAAAATTGAATCTTTATGGTTATAAAATATTATAGAAAATGACAAAAATTTTGATTTTTGTGTCATAAAATCATATATAAGTTACATAGAAAAAAAAAACCCAGCACAGGGGGGTCGCGGCATAGTGGTGACGTGGCATAGTTGGATCAAGTATAATGATATCTGACAGTGATTAAAATCACTATCAAAAAAAAACGCTTCGATGCAAATCTTTAGATAGTGTTTAATTTTAAAAAATTGGTGTATTATTCCAAAAGCTACATGATCTGCTAGTTCCTTATTAATATCCTGATTAAGATAAAGTATGTCGAATGAAAAAGAGATTATTAAAAATATTATTTCTCATAAAAAAATTGTATTGATCCATACATTTTTTTAAATGTTATAGCCTTTTAAAGTAAAAAATGTAAAATATAAAATCGA